ACACTTCATAACTGTAATTTTGCTACTGTTATGAATCATAATGTAAATATCTGATATGCAGGATGTATTTTCATTGTTACAAATTGAACATAATTAAAGCATAGTGATTAATCACAAAAACAATATGTAATTATATATGTGTTTTCCGATGGTCTTAGGCAACCCCTGTGAAAGGGTCATTTGACCCCCACAGGGGTCACGACCCACAGGTTGAGAACTGCTGGCCTATGGTCACAAAACATAGAGAAAAGATCAGAACTAGATTGTGAATTTCTAGAGGTCTCAATCCCAGGGCTTTGCCCACTATATCTGACTATTCACTGAGAGATATACAAGGATTCCCAGAGGAGGAACTAGAACCAACTGACTGGGCAGTTCACTCTCATTCAAGTTGGCACATGTGCACAGGTGTATAAGACCCAGGTGAACACAGGGTGGGGAGAGACCATTTTTAATATTTAATTGTCTTCTATGTTGAACATGGAGGCTGTTCTTATAAAAGAAAAGTTTTTCCTTCCCCATTTCTTCTTCTAGTATCTAAAGCCATATAGGCATTCAGGCAAAAGTAAAAAGGCCATTTGCTCAATACCAAGTTCTGTTCCTCAAAAAAAGTAGTGATGATGATGAGAGTCATACCATACCAGGGAATTCACTTTTTCTCCTCTTAATTATCTAAAGTCACATCTAGAGATGTGTTAAAGCCACTCATACTTTCAGCTGAGTTAGGTATAATTAGATCCATGCATATTCTAAATCTGCATTTTCAAAATTCTGAGTAAGATGTCTTAAACCCTTTAACCTGTACTTAAGAAATTGAGTTTTATCAAACAGAGCCTATGACTTGACACACGTTAGGAGAGCAGCTGAATTATCAATGAAAAAGAAATCCTCAAGCAATACATAGATTTCTATAAACGAAATGGCTTTTCATCTCATAAAAATTAAAAGTAGCCGAAACCGGTTTGGCTCAGTGGATAGAGCGTCGGCCTGCGGACTGAGGGGTCCCGGGTTTGATTCCAGTCAAGGGCATGTACCTGGGTTGCGGGCACATCCCCAGTAGATGTGCAGGAGGCAGCTGATCGATGTTTCTCTCTCATCGATGTTTCTAACTCTCTATCTCTCTCCCTTCCTCTCTGTAAAAAAAATCAATAAAGTATATTTTTTTTAAAAAAAAGAGAGAGAGATAGTGGACCTAAAACTAAAGCTGAAAAAAAAATCTTAGCTTGCAGATTTGCCTACTCAACTCATTAGGATTTTGTCCATTAAATGTACCAAATTAAAACACTTATTTTTCAACTTGTTCTGAAAGTTAACAGTCTTCTATTTGGTTATGCTAGGTTAGGAGGCAATTTCAGAACCCTTAAATTCTTAGAGCTAAAAATTTTAAACTGCACAAAATTATCGAAATCATTCAACTAATTTCCAATATCAGAATCTAGTATGGAGGGTGAAAGTTGACTTCTAAGATTTCTGTACTTCTACAGGAAAGCCTCATCAGTAATTGTCTTTGAACATTAATGAATGTTGATTAATTCCTATAAAATAGAAAC